CCATCCACTAGAACTCAGGTTGATAATTTAACATTCAAAAGTAATTCATAAAACACACTCAAAATCTCAAGGATGGAACGGAATCATTGTGAAAAAATTATGTGTTAACCTTGCCGCGAAACATTTTCCCAACTGCGCCCACAACGTCCACGATGTTCATAAACTCCGACTTGCACTCTTCGCCAGCTTCGCGACAGAGCACATCAGCGGCTGATCTGTTGAGTTCCTCTATAGGATTTTTTAGTGCCTAACAAAGAGAAACTTATTATTATCAGCCATTCGGCAAAAAATTTATGCCTACCGATATTGAGATGTTGAACAGAGTGAAACAACTTTCACAGCTCCATTGTGCTGTAGGTATGATCTGTCCCTCAGAGTCTCTGTAACGGAGTATTTTGCGTTAAGAGGGGCTGCGTGTTGGATCTCCACTAACTTTGATATAAAGTCTTACTTGTCCGGGCATACCGGTATCAGGTGGCTACACGCAAATGTCCTATTGGTGTTTGAGCCTTTTTTTGGAAACAGGACATCGTTGATGGCATTGATTACTTTCTTGACTGCTTGGTACGAGTTTAAACATTCGTTCTCGGTTTTTTCGTCTGTCTCGCAAACATCGTTCATGATGCGCTCAGCAGTGTTCAGGGCAATTCGTACTTCCTAAATTGTTGAATATCACTGCTTTCTACCTCTCTTTCTAGGGTTATTCACATTCATGTCATTCCTCCTTTAACGCCCTTTTGTCAATATTAGAGTTACGAAAAAATTACTTACAGATCCATAATCGGCGAGAATCTTCGGACATTTTCCACAACTGAGAAAACTGAAAAAATCGAATATATATAAAATAATAAAATTTCGATAAAAATATAGAGAACAGAACTCACCCAAACCAGTACGGCTGTACTAAGGCAATGCAAAAGACAAACACAGGAACGTGCTTGAAGAACATTGTTGAGACGAATCTTGTAGTATGGGTAAAGCACTGGCTTTACACGCTCTCGATTGTTCGAAATCTGACCTGTTTTAATCAATAAGGCTTTCACATGCCAATCAAAATTGTAAGCTCTCATCCCTATTGCAATCAAAAATGAGTCTCCTGATCGCCTGATTTTGGTCTTCATATGCAATGCGCCAATCGTATTCTTCATATTCAGAGACCGAGTTCTAATCCACAGAGGAAAACCCAGCAACAAACTCAGACCACTTCTAGACGGACCATTCAGAGTAAGAACTATTAATAAGAACAATATAGAATTGGAAGATGGAAATGGTCACACGCTCAAGGTTCATAAAAACCACATAAGGCATTTCCCAGCGGACGACAACGAGATCAACCAAGCCCAGGATCAACCACCAGCACCAGCACCTACTCCTGAACCACTCGTCAATCCAAATGAAGAAGACACCGAACAATTGGAGAATCCCGAACCAGCAGAGCCAGCACCCGATGAGACGCAGTCATTTCTTCAAGAAGCCGTGAAGAAAACACACGCTTTACACACCGACTCTGAGGACTCCTCAGATAACGATGAAGATTATTTTTATTCTAGCAATGATGATGAG